AGTAAGATAAACACATTTGCCTGCTCACTGTATGAATACAGACACACAAGATTTTGCTTCTGCCATCAGGTTGATGATTTGAGCAGCAAAATAATTATTCTGGCCAATTAACTTATCAAAGAGTATTTTAAAGCATAAAAATTATGAAAATAAAGAAAAACAAGATGATAAATCAAGAGTATCAGCACCTACGGGTTGGATGGCAGTGAAGAAGCCGAAATTAAACCAGACAAGACAAAAGTACTGGTGGGCTGCAGAAAGCCTGGCTCAGGACTGGGAATCTACACACTATGGAAGGGGTTATGCTCCCCTTGCTAAGCCAGGCTTAAAGTGTAGAAATGCTTCTTGATCCCACACCATCCCTGGACTTTCTGGTGGAGGCAATAGCAAGGAGCACATTTGCAAAACTGTGTCTAGTGTACAAGCTGGAACCATTTCTGAATTGGCCTCATCCGATTCAATTATCTGTGAATTAGCTAAGCCAATTAATGATTACCTGTGCCTTTTGTTACATCAGAGTGAGAGCATTCGGGAACAGCCTTTCTAGGGCTACCTTGGAAAAGTACCTGAAAGTTTCAATTGGTGCCAACTGCAGCAGCTAAGCTGCAGCATGAAATCATGCTCGTAACACCCCAGTGCGGAAAGGTGTGTAATGACTGGCATTTGTTTTCTGAGCCCAGTTCAGAGTGTTGGTTTCAACCTTTGAAGTTTTAAGCCAAGGATAGACGATCTAGGGCAACTGGGGTGGGGATTTACCTCCATTCTCCTGCAGGCCACATTCTTGATATGGCAGTGGTGACAATAGTAAAAAAAAAAATTGGAAGGAAAACAAGCTAGATTTGTTTATACCTCACCTTTTCTTCTAATACACGCACACTGGGCCATTATCACGAGGAGTTAAGTGCACTTTTCAGTGGCCAGCGCAGGCATTACTAAGTGCAGCCACAGATTCTTGTTGGCATAATTGCTAGGAGAAACCTGCTGGGCCTCAGTGGAGCTAGGATATCACCAGAGACTGTGAATTCATCTCCTCATCCTTGAGATGAATATGCTTATACATACCCTTCTGCTGAAGTGAATCGGGGTGGCTGGGCCTTCTCCCACTTTCCCTTTCTGGCCATCCAAGGAAGGAGCCTAGCTTGTGCACACGGATAGCCAGAGGGAGAGGGGGACGGTAGAAACTCCCTGTCAAGAGGTGTTGTGCATTGGTTTCCTGCTTGGAACCAGACGTGTGCAAGGTGTCCAAGTAACTAGTGTCCTGAAAGCAATGTCAGTCACATTAGGAAGCCCAGTGACTAAAGCAAAGGCTGCAGGCTTTTATTTTGCTTTTCAACTGATAATCGGCATCTGTATTTCACCCCACAAGTATTCAATGAGTCACATCTCAACCACAATGCAGGTGGCTTTGTTTCTTCCTAAGTATGCTCAAATCCGAAGTGAGGTTCCTGGGCTGGAAAAGACCCCTGGGACTACAACAGTGTCATGCATTCTTCCTTTCCATTTTATCTTAACAACCACCCAATGAAGTAGCTTAGGCTGATTGGCCCAGAGTCACCCAGTGAACTTTGCACCCAAGTTGAAATTTGAGCCTAGGTCTCCTCAGTTCCAGCCTAACACTCTAGATTCGATAATACACTGGCTCTTCAAGTAAGCTCTGTGAAGGTTTACTACAGATCTAGCTTGACAACGAGCTAAATATGTCATTTCCAAGTCCCTGAAGCTGTTTGTTACTGAAGCTCCTCATTATCTTCTCCTGCTTGCACTCTGATTTTTCCAGAGGTGCCAAGGCCTACATGAAGCCCATTCAACCAATGGTCTGCTTTGGCTATCCACTCTTTAAACGACCCAAGGACTTGCCATCTGCAGGACCACTTATCTTGTCATGAAACTCCCTCGTTGTTAAGATCTGAAGGGCAAGTCCTTTTGTGGACAGCTCTCCTTGCAAAGGTCAACTCGTCTGGCATGTGTGCAAGAACTTCATCATTCCCCCAGTTGTAGAACTGAGGATAAGATTGACCACTGCTCTCTCAGCTTAGAATAGAATGGTGGTACAGCTGATGCCCATGTGGGCCTTCTGCAGAGTAGCATCGTTTCTGCCACCCCCATTTCTCATCGCAGCAGGGTCTCGCTCAATACTGGTAGTGAGACTGCTGCTGCTGAGGAGGAGAAGACGACGCGGGAGAGGGCGTTGCCCCATTGTAGCCATGATGCAGAGGTTTTGCCAAGTAGGGCTATGCCTTTTCAGCCAGCTGTGCCAGGATGGTCACTGGGTTGGGGGGGGGATTTTTGGGGGGGTTATAGCTGTATTTTATTGTTGGTTTATAATATGTATTATACTACTGTATTAATTATTCCATTTTGATTTCTGCACTGCTTTTGTAATTAATAATTTTATTTTGCATTTTTGTTTTGATTATAGTATCGTATTTTGTAAGTGAGTTTGTAGTATTTCGGTTTTATTCTAAGTTGCCCAGAGAGCCTGATTGGCTAAGGGGTAGCATACAAATGTAACAACAACAACAACACCATTAAGTCCAACCCTGGGCTCTACTTCAACATGTGGTTACCCATCTAACTGCAGGTACATGCTTTTCCAGCTTAGCAAAAGTGAGTTTGTTTATTATATTTCTATCCTGCTGTCCAAATTGCAAACTGCCAGTAGACGAAGCACTGCAATGTTGCTAACAGGTTAGGGAGCCTTGTTAACGAAATAAAAGGTAAGCTGCTACCTTACATCACGGCATATAATTTCAACACAGTCCCAAGCTAGGCAATCAACTGAAAACTGACTGGCATGTCCACTTTAGTGATGAGCTCTCTCTGTTTTCCCCACCGAACACATCGACCATGTGGAGATATTAACAGTTAGCCTAACAGGGTTGCTGAAAGGGTAACAAGACAATGTGCAGCACCTCGAAAGTTTATACGTGATGCTATGTACATTCTCATGGCCAACAGGGACTTCGCAGCAAGGCACCCTCAAATGTGCAACAGTCAAAGGTGATCATTAACGCACAAGCAAGATGTTTTCCTAGATGTTAAGCATTTTTATGGAAACAGTTCAGACATTCTTAATGTGGTCCCAGCTTCCCAGCAATATTCAACACATTCATCCTTCCACATGCACAGCCTTGAACTCTTCAAGCTGCATATTTATTATTTACTGAACTTTTGTAATGTCCAAATGAATTGACATACTTTGGACACAATAACAACGCACACAATATTTTGTGTTCGCATATGAACACAAAAATGAAAGCCTCTCTCTCTCTCCCCCAGCCCCCTGTGTAACACTATAAAAGTCCAATATTGGAGATTTCTCTTTTCAAGCTATCTTAGTTATTAAAGAAAATTCCACAACATTAATATTTCAAATAGCAGGCATGTAAGTTCTGAAAGGGAACTTCCTGAAGACATCTGGACTTACCTATGTTCACTACTGAATTAATCAAGATTTCCTTCTTTATCTACAATGCTTGTCTTCTGCCTGCAGACGTTACATCTGAACAGACAGACCCCATTGTAGATAATGTGACCTTTCTAACAGTGAAGCGGGGGAGAATGTTAGATGGGAGCATCAATAAATGAAGAACACTAAATACAGAGTTCATAAACCATTGTGAACTTTGCCCTGGCTTGTCTAAAGGCAGATAAAGAGCCAGCGAAGGCCTGAGCCGATCAGAAATTCTATTATTTTTAGTCAGTAGCCACAGCTCTAGTTATATTCCATTGCTTCAAAGTTGGGGCCTGATTGGAGAAAGATATTCTCCATCTCATTCAATGAGGAACATTTTTCTGTCTCAGTCAACTACAGGGATAGATGTGTCTTGCTGAATGGAGATGAGGAAGTGTATATTAGTCTGTTTTTACATCAGTCAGTTTAACTTCATCACTTTTACTTCAGGCAGTAAGTTTGCGTCAGTAATTGTGCTAAGTGGCGCTGTTTGCAATGTGTCACAGGATTGTGAAGCAGCACAGATGAAACATTCCCAGTCTCTAGCCATGGGCAGTGCCCAGCACCACCGCTTCCCTTACGCCACTGCCAGAGTACCTGTACGTGCCATGGGGCTTCCTTGTCATGCCAGCATGTTATCAACACCTCATTGGAGACGGCTTATACTAGAACCACGTCAATGATGTAAGCTGGGCAGCAGTGCTGGACACTGCCCATAGCTCAGACAGTGGTTCGCATGCTGCAGACCTGTCTCTTCCTTTCTCTTAATACAAATTTGCCCCTTAGTTGCACGATTTGCTTAACTATGCTGCAGTGTCACAGCTGCACCAGCATTCAACTTGGCAGGTGAGTACCAGACTTGCCTTTGATAACCAGGGTTTGAAGTGGGTTTGCAAACCTTTTGATATGGTGAGCATCAACCATGGTTGCCACCAAAGTTACACTATACAGAAAACTACACAGAGAGGTAGATTGAATTGTACAAGCCTGTGGAATACTTCTAATTTCTTATAAAGTCCTAGGCAACTAAGAGTTGTAACTGTGGAAGCTAAAGGAATGCTATTGTGCAATATTTTGTGATGTTCAGTGGCTGATACAAATTAAATTTCGATATGCATGTTAATAAGGAGTAAGACTAGTTTCTATTGGAGAAAAAGGAACAAGAGCTATGCTCCAAGACCAAAGACTGCAGCTTATCTTTTAAAAATGGTCCTTTTAGCATTTACAACATATCCCACTGACTTAGGTTTAGTTGCACAGAATATCTCATTGTTACTTTTACACATAGGAAAGGAAAAAGTCAATACTTTTTTATTACCAAGTGCAGATCAATTTCAAATCATTGAGTAAGAAAAGTGCAGAATATAAATAAATGAAGAACACTGTGCAAAACCATTTAAATTTGATTCACCAAATAGAATCCGATTCACAAAGCAATTGTACTAGAAGTAAGCAGCCAATACTTTGACCAAACAGGCATACAAAATTGAAAATCAAAAAAATGAAGGCTTTTAATTTCATGCCCTCACCAAGCTATGGAACTTACTGCAAGAAGCCAAATCTATCAGTAACTTTGTAAAGCAGGTAGTCTGCATCTTCCCAGGGTTCGATTTGTGCACCTTCTCGTCCCTACAGAAAACACATAAAGATAGATAAGGAAATCGTTACTTACAGCCCAACACAGCAGTAGGCATAGGGAGCCGACAGGCTGATACAAATTTCACAACTAGAAGAAAATTCCACAGTTTTATTGCATTACATTGCTACTATCCAGAGTAAAGCAAAGGGGAGATCCATACAGGAAGTGAGACCTTTGCTTCCTTTTGTTTTCAACATATTCAATCTTATTTGCATGTGTAAAGGTACTTCTCTCCACTAGAGCCCATGCTTGTTTTGTTCCTAAACAGACCTGGGCTGTGTCTAGTTTTCCTATTGTTTCAGCATCATTTGCTCCTACCATTTCTCCAGTAGTAATTATGCCTCTTGGGGTCAGCTAAAAATTGAACACTTGAAAAGAAGAACAGCATTAGGTGTGCTAATGGGGGATAACTCTACAAAACATTAACTGTTAGCCACATTTACTAAATTGAACTTCCAGGTGCAGAGGCACTGTATCTCCAACTACCAGACAAAGTCTACAACTAAGAAAACTGCATCCTTATGTTTCTAGAGGAACTTGTCTGGCCACTGCTAGAGACTTAAAACTTAAAGAAGACTTAAAGAAATATCTGATTGATCCAACAAGCAATCCCTATGTTCTTTCAAGAGCTGTATGCCTCCGAAGCACCCCTTCTCTTGCAAGATGCAAAGCAGCAGCAAGTGATCTGTACTATTTCCTGTCTCTTCCCTCTTCCCTTTTCTGTCAAAACAAGCTTGGGCAGTACCCAGCTAAGAAAACTCTGTGTGGGGTGCTACCATTACTGTTTCAGAATGGAGCCAAGGAGCGGGAAGGAAGGAGCAAGCTCGTGCCTCTGTCAATTCTCTCCTCATGCAGCACAGGAAATCAGGGAAAAATAGCAAGAGATATAAGAACTTACTTTGTCATACTTGGCAACTATCTCAGCTCGTTCCTGGGCAAGTTTGACAGCAGCATCCTGCTCAGCATCTGAACCTGGAAAGGATAGAATGGACATTAAATTGCAGCTTATAGTTATCATTTGGGGAAAAGTCAGTCAGTCAGTCAGTCTCTCTCTCTCTCTCTCTCTCTCTCTCTCTCTCTCTCTCTCTCTCTGTATGCAGATAAATGTTTTCTCTGGGGGGAAAACGGTTAGGAAAGAAGCTGGCAATTGTTCTTCACTCACATGTTGTGCCAATCTGGACTCCAAGACAGAGGATGAAGGGGAGGAAGTAAGGGGAGCTCAAGAAAGGGGGTCAATATTTTCAGATGAGAAAAACCCCGCTTATCCCAAGGCCCCTCTCCACAAGCGCTCAGACAGGCTGAGACTAGCTAAAATGTACAGGTGTCCGGTGTCAGAAGAATCTGGTATAGCACTTGATCCCATGACATGGCATTGGGAAAGGAGGGAATGCCAGTTAGAGACAAGCATACAGAAAGGAGGTGGCCTCGCTTCCAAACAGGCCCTTCAGAAGGGATCTGGCCCAGGAATGAGACGGTTTCCAGGAGCAGTAGTTTATTTTGGTTCAGCAAGCTGCTCTGTGCATGCACAGGAACACATTCTGTAACGGTTGTACGTTGTTGGGTATCCTTTAGTGAATAAAGAGATTCTGCAAAGAGGGGGTTTGTTGCCTTGAATGTGCAAAGAGAGGGAAACTTGGCTACAACAAAAATAATACAGGACACTGATGCTAAAAATGAAAATGAGGCTCTAAACATTGCTTTTAACTGACAATTCCACATCACCATATTTCATGGTTTTTTGCATACCTATCTGAGCACTGATAAAGCAATACATTAAATTGTCTTCTAAAAACATTATATAAAGATCTGTCCATTTTTAGCTGTTCTATGCTGGGACAAAGGGCGAAGGAATTGTTCTATAGATTTGGTACTGCAGTCAAGCACATCCAGTTGAGCCACCAGTAACAACAAGAAATGCACTGTACAATACATATTCAAGACTAGTTCTGATTAAATGTAATGTAATAAGGGCATCATTACAGGCTTACAATTATTCTGAGACAGTTCCTGAGTCTGAAAGGACACTAATGTCAAGAAGCATGGGATATATTAAAAAGGTACCTGCAATTTAAACAGCCTTACATCTAAGAACCATATAAACCCAACTCAGGTGAGGACTAAAAGATTGATAGATAGGTAGGGGTGTGTATACAGCAGTTCCATTCCCTGTCTGTTTACTCCCTGATCATCTTGTGTTGAGCTAGGAGGCCTACAGGAAGTATGAATGTGGTATTAGTTGCCATACTCTACCAGGGTTCCTGATCAAGCAGAGGCATGAGGGCTGAAAGGGGACAGACTTCACACTTTCTCCAGCAACACAGGAAAGTCAAAGCCTGGGCAGACAAGGAGGGGGCCACTGGAGTCATCTCTTCCATTCTCATCCTTAAACACACATACCCCTTTAGCCCTCATATGAAATGGCTGCACATCTCTAAGGTAAAGGTGAAGGTTTCCCCTTGACGTGAAGTCCAGTCATGCCTGACTCCAGGGGGCGGTGCTCACCTCTGTTTCCTGGCCGAGGGAGCCAGCGCTTGTCCGCAGACAGTCTCCGTGGCCATGTGGCCGGCATGACTAAACACCGAAGTGCACGGAACGCTGTTACCTGCCCACCGAAGTGGCACCTTTTCATCTACTTGCATTTGCATGCTTTCGAACTGCAAGGCTGGCAGGAGCTGGGACGGAGCAACGGGAACTCACCCCGTTGTGCAGATTCGAACTGGCAACCTTTCGATCAGCCAGCCCAGCAGCACAGCGGTTTAAACCACTGTGCCACCTGCATCCATATAAAGGAATAAAATACGATTTGCAGTAACTACAGTCCAGAGAAAATAGTAATACAGTCAATATACTATTTAAACTGGGATACTGAATCACGCAGATGTAGAGGCTGGGAAACAAAACGGCAGGGCAGAAAGGACCCTCCTCTCACTCCTTTTGCTGTATTTGCTCACCTGCCTTGAAGTTCCCCAGTCCTTCACTTGTACTTGCAAAGCTGCTAAGCCAAACTCTAACACAGGGGAAGATAACTTTTGGCTCCCCAGATGCTTTGACCGAAAGCTCCCACAATCCCTCACTATTAACTATGCTGGCTGGGGCTCATGAGAGTAAAAGGCCAAAATATCTGGAAGGCCACAGGCTGCCTACCCTTGCTGTAGTAAAGTGGTGGTGAACCTATGGCATGTGTGCCACAGTGGGCACGCAGAGCCCTCTCTGCTGGCACATGAGGCAAGTCGCCCCAGCATCGTACTGGCAACCGAGCATCAGAAAACAGCATAGATAGGGGCCATGCACATGCCCGGAAAGGAGTAGTGGTGCCAGGCAATGACGTCACGAGCCACAACCCATTAGCCACGCCTTATCCGAGCTTCCACATGGCCAGTCAGTGCAATGCGAAGAATATATATGCATTTGCTTGGAATGGCTGTTAGTTGTTTTATCTAAACTAAAACCTCCATTTTCAGGTTTTATTGCAGTGTTGCCACTTTGCGATAAATAAGGGTTCTGGGTTCCAGTCTGGACACTTGGTCTCTAAAACGTTCGCCATCACTGGGTTAGGGTGGGAAAAACAAGATGTCCTGGTATGATTTTGATGGTTGGAATGTGTTTAGAATGGACAGAAATGTTGAGCTTTGCAGAAAAAGCTACTTGAGGAAGTCTTTTTCAAAACCGCATTATCTTCACTGGTACTTAACCCCTATATTAGGGTTAGGGGTGTGCACAAGGATAGGGTAAGGGTTAAAAAAATGAGGTATCATGGCATGATTTTGATGGTCGGAATGTGCTTAGGAGGGGCAGGAATGATGAGCTGTGCAGAAAAAGCTACTCAAGAAATGCTTTTTCAAAATCTCCCCTTTCAATGGTATTCAACCCCTATATTAGGGTTAGGGGTGTGCACCAGGGTAGGGTTAGGGTTAGAAAAACGAGGTGTCCTGCCATGATTTGGATGATTGGATGGTCTTTAGAATGGGCAGAATTGTTGAGCTGTGCAGAAAAAGCTACTCAAGGAAGGCTTTCTCAAAATCTCCCCTTTCAATGGTATTCAACCCCTATATTAGGGTTAGGGGTATGCACCAGGATAGGGTTAGCGTTACAAAAACGAGGAGTCCTGGCATGATTTTGATGGTTGGAATGTGTTTAGAAGGGGCTGAAATGTTGAGCTGTGCAGAAAAAGCTACTCAAAGAAGGCTTTTTCAATATTGCATTGTTTTCACTTGTATTCACCCTTATATTAGGGTTAGGGGTGTGCACCAGGGTAGGGTTAGGGTTACAAAAACAAGGTGTCCTGGCATGATTTGGATGGTTGGACAGTGTTTAGAATGGGCAGAAATGTTGAGCTGTGCAGAAAAAGCTACTCAAGGAAGGCTTTTTCAAAATTGCATTATCTCCACCGGTATTTAACACCTATATTACGGTTAGGGGTGTGCACCAGGGTAGGGTTAGGGTTAGAAAAATGAGGTGTCCTGGCATGATTTCGATGGTTGGAATGTGTTTAGAAGGGGCAGGAATGATAAGCTGTGCAGAAAAAGCTGCTCAAGGAAGGCTTTGTCAAAATTGCATTATTTTCAATGGACCTTTAGCCCTGTATTCGTTTTATGGGAGTGTACCTAGGTAGAGCCCTCTCTGTTAGAATGTGACCCAAGTCACCCCAGGATCTGTGCATCGGATAACATGTCAAGAAAAGTACTTAGGGGCAAGTAAGAACAAGAAGCAGAATTAATGGCTTGACTTATCACTAAAATTGACATAGTAGGTGAAAAGGTGCAGAGAATTGTGAAAGCATGGAATTCAGTGCAGAATTGTAAATAGTCAACAGGGGTGAATAGAGGAAATAGAAATGTGATAGCTACATTTCACCAGCTTCTGAGATGAAGACTGGCCGCTGGCCGCTCAAGGCCCTTGGGCCAAATCTTTTCTGGAAGCGTATCACTAGGCCCCAGTTGCCAAGCTGGAAGGAAAGCAGTGCTTCTAGCAATAGGATTTGTCAGCAGGCCACTACTGCCCCTCCACTCTGCAAACCAGAGGTGGGCCATTTATGGCCCTTTGGATGCTTTGGCACATAACTTTCATCAGCCAACATAGCTAAGGGATCATGGGAGTTGCTCACCAATCTCTGATTTAACCAGAGAAGAACTTCCCTAGGAAGCTCACAGTAGCATGTGGAGGATTGTCCCCACTGAGACTAAATCTTAGTGACTTACCAAAGACTATCTATGAGCTTCGTAACAAAGGGGACTCCAAAAGGGGTCTCTCCCACTCCAAATCAAGCAGGTCGCCAACTTTGCCATCATAACTTGAATGCATCCCCACGTGTTTCTCAGAGGTTTAAGGAATGCATATAACAAGCAAGGAGATCTTTTTTTTCATTATGCATGGCACATCAGTCACCAAAAGTAATCTGTGCATGATAAGAATACAAAAATACACAACTGGCATTTGAATGCTCCTAGGCAGATAAGACTCAGAGGAAGCCTTTCAAATATTGCATTTTTAAAAAATCAACAGGGCACAATATTGACATTCATTTCAGACTGAATGCTACATATAAAATTTTATTACACATACTGTATTTTTCGCTCTATACGACACACTTTTTCCCTCCTCAAAAGTAAGGGGAAATGTCTGTCCATCTTATAGAGCGAATGTGTGTGTGCCCAACGCCCGGGACGCTGCCGGCCCCACCACGTGGCACCACCTGGCCGGCACGCACTCGACGCGCCCTGCTCTGCCCCTGCCCCCGGCGCAGGTGAGAGCTGTGCCGCTCAGGGGGAGCGGTGCGGAGGAGCAGCAGCCACGGGCTTTAACCCGCCGGCTGCACGGAGAGACGGACTGCTCATCCCCACTGCCTGGGAAGACCTGCCGCCGCCATCGCGCCGCCCGGAAGACCACTGCCGGCATGCTGCCGGCCCCACGTGGCACCACCTGGCCGGCACGCGCTCAGCGCGCCCTGCTCCGCCCCCCTCCTCCGGCGCAGGTGAGAGCTGTTAATCACAGGTCGGTGTGTAATTTCAAATGGTAACCCGTCTTTTAATGAAGCCCATGGGGAAGTGATGGGGAATGTGCCTGTGATTATCAGGAAGCTTTCCATGGATCAGTTATCTGTTAGTTGATCAGACACTTTTTTTTAGGATCAGTGGATACTTGAACAGCATTACCTTCGTGTATGAAGTTTATTCTTCAAAGGCTACTTAGTCCGCTGTGTGTTTGATTTACCGTACAATATCTCATTTTTTGTCAGAAGTTTTTTTCTATTATTTACTAGTAGGGCAGCATGGACATTACTGGCTTTTTTAGATTTGTTATTGAATTGTCTGCAGCAGCTCTTGTATAACTGGTGCAGATTGTGGATCCCTTCAATAATTCCACTACTGACTAAGAAAGTGATGTCAGTGATTGTGAGCAACAGAGCTTCATAAATTCTGACTCTAGTGATGGTGAGTTCTATGGGTTCAACGAAAACTAGAAGAGCACTCGAACTTTAAAGTCTCTCTTTTGTTAATGACAGTGATGATGGTTCTTAATGCCACTGTTGACCGCTGTTCACTTTACAAGGTTGAAATACGGTATTACTGTATTCTGTTATAGTTTATTAAATAGTTTAGTAAACCATTTGATTCAGAATATTTTTTTCTTGTTTTCCTCCTCTAAAAACTAGGTGCGTCTTATGGTCAGGTGCATCTTATAGAGCGAAAACACGGTATATGAGTGGTATTTAGCACACTTTCCTAAAATAAAACATATTCAAAGAACAAACTTTACCAACAGGTCTTGTTCTTGGATGTAAGTGACTTGTCATTATGCTGCTACCCAAACTGTTGATTCCAAAATACTATTTATCTTTACCCCAAATTCTATTTACTTAAGTCAGTACAAGGTTAACTGGAACAAAATCTGTCAAACAAGTTGATCATGCAGGTGGAGACAGCTGGAGAAAACGCCCCCTGAAAATCAAAATCACTTCAGACAAGGATGGGGAGAGGACTTGAAGAGGAAACAAAATATGCCAGGGGCTAGTCAGCAGTTTCCCTCCATATCCATCAGGAAGTGGAAAGCTCACACCGCTTTTTCCAGGGACAGTTTCCTTTATTGAAGCCTTTAATTTATGAGCACTGAAAGAGGGAGAGTGCAAAGCAAGCACTGCTGATTCCAAACAAGCATTGCTTTTCCCAAACAAAAGGGCATGAGGGCCCCCAGTATGAAATAGCAACCCCATGTGGAGACTCCTTCATCTCTCCCCACTGATGGGAGACCCCACCGCCCCCTTGGCAGGCATATATTTGGCAGCAGCAGTAGAGAACTTCCCAACTTAGGCTGTGCTCATAGTCATTACGATTGGAGCAATTTCTTCTGTAACTTGCCAAAATACCTAATCATGGTTTACGGCAAAACTGTGTTACACTGCTTTAGGAAACGATGCCGTGGAAGGTTGGAGACAAAGCTAAACATGCCCAGGGCCATAGCAATTATTATATAAGCACGATGACAGTACTATGAGAAAAGCCTGCCATTCAAGGTGGAGTGCAATAAGGAAGATGCGCTCAAGATCCTATAGCAAGCTTACGCCAACTAGTACAGCACACCAAAGAATTTCAGAAGACCGGCCTTTGCTGTATAGACTACAGCCTATGACTATGTGGGTCACAAGAAGCTATGGAAGGTTCTGAAAAAAATGGGGGCACCTCAGGACTTAATTAGCCTGATGCATAACTGGTATCACAGACAAAAAGCTACTGTTAGGACAGAATGTGGAGAAACTGAATATAGGCAAAGATATCAAGCAAAGGTATATTTTATCTTCCTATTCGTTCAATCTTTATGAAGAACATATTATAAGAAATGCTGGATTAGGATCAGAGGAAGGAGGAGTGAAAATTGGAATAATTTAAGATATGTAGATGACACCATTTTATTAACAGGAAGCAGCACTTCACTGAAACAACTCCTGATTAATATGAAGGAAGAAAATATAAAAGCAAGACCACAGCTAAATACTACGACTAAAATCATGACCACAGATGAATTACGCAACTTTAATGTCGATGAAGGAATTGAAATTGTGAAGGACTCTGCATAACTTGGCTAAATCATCAGTTCAAACAGGCACTGCAGTCAAGAAATTAGGACAACTTGCGCTTGGAAGAGCAGCAATGAAGGAACTAGAAAAGTTCATCAAGTGTAGGGAGGTTTCACTGGAGACCAAGGCCAAGGATTATCTGCATGATCACTCTGTGAGGGTGTGAAACCAGGATAGTTAAGGAAAATGACAGGAAGAGAATGGAGGCGTGCAAATTAAGGTGCTGGAGGAGAGCTTTGCAAATACCCTACTGACAGTAAGACAACAAGTGCCCCTAGGTGAGATCAAGCCTGAATTTTCCCTTCAGCAAAAAACTGAAGCTGTCATACTTTGGGCACATCATGAGGAGGCAAGACTCACTAGAGAAGACAACAATGCCTAGGGAAACTGAAGGCGGAAAAAGAGGGAGCCTAGACATGAGATGGATCAGTTCCATAAAGTTTACAAGAGCTGAGCCAGGCTGTGAAGAAAAGACATGCTGAAGGGCATTCATTCACAGGGCACCGTGAGCTGGAGATGACTTGATGGCACATAACAACATGACAGCGCCACTGAAATAAAATGGAACTGGTTTCCAGCAAGACTGAAACAGAGAGATCTACAAGATGAAACTCAAATACTTTGGCCACCTAACAAGAATGAAGGACTCCCTGGAGAAGAGCCTAATGTTGGGAACAATAGATAGCAAAAGAAGAAGGGGACGGCAGAGGATGAGGTGGCTGGATGGGGTCACTGAAGCAGTTGGCATGAGCTTAAGTGGACTCTGGGGGATGATGGAGGACAGGAAGGCCTGGAGGAATGTTGTCCATGGGGTCGCAATGGGTCGGACACGACTTCGCGACTAGCAACAACTATTTCATATATGTACCTCCTTGTGTTTGTCTAGTCTTTATGTATGAATCCAGACCACTGAAGCGGAGAGAGGATTTGCATACTTGTCCTACAATGGATGTTGTTTTACTCTTTTTAAATATTGCTTAACGCAGGAAAATCAGAGACATGTGTGCCGTAATGCCTGGTTATATGGCTAAAGAAACACAGGACCCAAAGTGGCATTACTATTAATTTAGTGCTAGCTGTATGTGAAGGAGCAGAAGCCCAGCATGGCAAGGCACGTCACAAAATTATAGAACCAGTTCCATGAACATGTCCGTTTTCAACTCTAAAGTATTAGAAAGTACATACAGTCTATTTATAGTTGGCCACAAGATTCTACTTCATACTCACATTGGTGCAAAATAAGGCAGAAATGCTGACTTAATCAAGTACAGTACAATCTCAGTGCATCCTACCTGTTTGCTTCCCCCAAGCAGGAAAATAAACTGGAAAGAAGAAAGATGTGTTATTTCCACACCTTAAAGTAGTTAAATGTATCAAAACAAGCTGGGATTCAAGAAACTTTGGTTTAAGGTTGGCTTACAGATTCTGGTTTCTTTGGTCACACTTAACCACAATCCCAGGTTTGGATGTAATGTGAAACTTTACCCTTCTAGTTTTTGAGCCACCTTCATGAAGGGAAGAGCCAATGGGCAGCATCTACCATCACTACTTCATGTGCACCTTGGTTTATCAAATCAGGATGTCTGGCTTACTATTACGGGTAAATGGAGCCATGGTGTATAAATGTCTCCCTTATAATGCATATTATTTCATTCCACTGGGTTCTGAAGTTAACAGAAATCCTCTTTCTGATCCTATATTATCTAGGAGCTCAGAACACACATTCTACTTCTTTCCTCACCCCTGTATTAGTTAGTACTATTATTATTTGTTTGGTTTATATGCTGCCTGGTTAGCCATAGGATCTCTGGGTGGCTTACAAGCAATCCATTTGTCATTTTCTGAAAGTGCATCATAGTCACTCTATTGAGAACTAGTGGTGTTAAAGACATAATAATAACCTTTTTATTTTAGAGAAAGAAAGCAAAGGTTAAGGCTTGGAATACTACATGTACAGCTACATATCCTCCCAAGAGGCAACACTTTCTCTAAGCCAAGTAGGTCATGAACTGAGTTAATACCAGTGCATCCCTTCACATGCCTGACTTTGCTCTCCTTAGCTATGTTCTACACTGTACGCATGCAAATTATATGTACGAGGTCACTACTTAAATCTCCAGCATAGAGTGAAAATATACCAGTATCTGCATTCAAACTAGTGTATGATACACCTAATTACAGGTAAAAGGAGTCCCTGTTTCTCAGGTGAGGCTATCTTCTTGCTCAAGTGGACCAAAAGTGCTAAGTATGAAATTATACCATTTTACAGTACACTAACATACGTTTAACTTAAGAAATTAATGTGTATTGACAGCATACACTAACCAACCCAAATTATAACCTGGATGCTGAGGGTTAAATGTCCCCACCATAAAGCACTTATCAAACAAAGCACCCCAGGACAGAATCGTCAAGGCACTGGCCTAGCAGGAGGACAATGTACCTGGCCTGCCTTTCCAAAACTACAATAAAGATGCGTCCTTGAACTCTAAGTGGTTTATCCAAGCTGGGAAAAGGGAGATGCAAGGATAGAAAGTATGAGAGGGTAGATAAAAAAGTAATATATTAGAAAATTAGATAAATATACATCAAATACGACCTCTGTTTTAAAGACTTAAAGTAACTTTAAAATAAACCTATTTTTATATAAAATCAAAATAGAAATATTTAAAGGTTTGTGTTTGCACTTTTTTAAACACTGATTTCATGATCCTATTGAATATACGAAATTAAAACCTGCTTTTCTGCAAAAACCTTTTGAAGTCCTTAATATGACACAATAACCTGGCAATCTTGTGGTTCCTAGACAGCATCCAGAATGCTATCAGGTTTTTTTTTTTTTTTTTTGGAGCTCTGGCCTTGGAAAACAGCTCCACCTTGAAACTGGGATCCCATGCTTGGATTGCCCTCTCCCCTCTGCTCACTGTTGTCTTCAAGGTGAGGAAAACAACCTCAGAGAAGGGGTTTAGAGGGTGCAGAAGGTACCAGCAAGATATGACTTATCCTCACAGCACCTCAGCCTCCATTCCTCCTTCTCTGAAGCACCAAAGTTAGGCAGCTGGAATCCATCGCTTTGCAGAGCAGGAGAAGCACAGAGGTGACTTCTGCCTCCACACTACTCCTGCCCTGCATGGGATGCCCCTAATCCTCCAAGTCTGGAGGGATATAGTCATTTCCACTGAACATTTAATTTCCATCTTACAGGCACACACTATTTCCATCCCTATGTCTGGAAATTCCTCGACATGTATTGTGTAATCCTATGTATGTTTATTTGAAGAGAAGTCCTCCTTATTCAATGAAGACTGTTGCAAAATGAACTGCAGACTAAATTCCTAGGCACACTTATTTAGATGTACATGTTACTGAACTCAATAGGATGTTCTTGAGTCAACACACAAAGGATCAGTGTGTAACCTTACTTAGTGCGTCCGCATGTACACAGAGTACACCAAATATAGTAGCATTACGTCACAGAGTCCCCTTTTCCACTTCTAGCAAATTTATCTGTAGAGCAAAAGGCTTATATCGTTATAAGAGGCTTGGACTCCGGGTTCTGTGCATCATGTTCTGCTCACTGAACTCAGTGCCCTTTACCAATACAGCCCCTTGCTCCCCTCCCCTAAATCTGCTGTGGAGGGTTGGATGAAACTGGGAGGCGGGGGAGAGTACTGCAAAGAACTGGGGAGAGTCACTTCTGTTAGTGGGGGTGTGCACTGGATCTCTTCCACAAATGGAAGGACTTCTGTTTATGGAAGAGCACCTCTGGATCCAATCCACTATTATTAAGTTGTCACAACAAGGAACGAATATACATTTGTAGACACACAAATTCCAACATGAGAAACTTGACAAGCTGATCAATTATTGCTAAGATAATGTTAATACTAACTTTTTCTGGAAGATCTCAAATCAACCCACCCTAAAGCAATGACCAGAATCACAAGAAACTTGTTGAATAAAGCAACCCAAATATCTCAGTTATCCAAATCTAATGTAAACCTGGAAAACTATATTTAGCACATGAAATCATCATATTCTTGGGACGGTATGTGTTTTTTAAGTGAAGGATAGATTTATAACAAGATTTTGTCTTTTTTTCCTATGGGATGCAGAAGAGTAATAAATTCTGACATGTTCCAGAGCTTTTGATAACTTGCTACATTTATCACAAAAGAATCATACATTCACAGACAAGAAATAATCCTCCCAACTTCTGGCAATCAAGTGAAGCTTTCTTGCAAGAAATTTTGACAGTTTAATATTATGTTAATCCAGCCTCACATGAGATTTATTAAAAGCAGTCAGAAATGGATGAAAATTAAAAGAGGTATTAGGAGAAAGGAGAGGGGGATTCCATTCTAACCTATGAAAATGATTTATATATTTTCAAATTTGAAATTAATCAGTTTTTGAAATGCCAGATCTAGACCCTTAAGTCGAATATTAAACTTTCCCTTAAAACAGTGTTTTCTTGCTGATAAGTTGAGCCCAGAAATGGGTTGCAGTCACAGTACTAACATTTTCTGTGTAAGGTTTTGTTTGAGAGAAGAAAATTGGAATTTGAAAATAAGAACAAGGACAATTGCTTTACCTCAAGCAGTTATGCACAAGGTGGGCAACTTCTCTCACTGCTGTGCGACAAGCTGCCCCCTTATATATACAATTTTTCGAAGGTATAGCAGCCCTCTCCTCCTTTGGATCTGGACACCCAAGACACAGATAGAGAAAGACAGAAATAGAGTGTGACAGAAATAAACAAAAACAGTCCCCATGTTTAATGCATTTAAGTTGCAAAGCTACTGGTTCTGGAGATGAAAAAAGTTGACAATTATGAGTTGGGGTTTTATTAATTGTTCCTCCTGTCATGAGTTACTTCTGTCACTATATGAGATACTGGACCAATTCAACATAGCTCAGTCAAAACAAAACACTGCAGTAGTCTCGAAAACTGTACACAAGAGAGTCACAGTCTTCTGCTTGGCAGCTGGGCATCACTGCTGCAAAAGTGATGTCACACATACTCCACACAAGCCATGCCCTCCAGGACAGAGAGATACTGCATGAGCAAAGACTTCAAAATGGGATAAAAGAAATTTGTTTTCCTGAAGATGGTTGAACTGACCAGTTACGAACAGCGTTAAAGGCTCTCTCTGCATCTCACATGCTGTCAGAGAAGCCACTGGGCAAACAGGGCACTTAGCCATTTTAGAAATAAGGCTGGCCTCCTTACTTGTTTCAAAATCAAGGAAACAGTTTGGATGCTATTGTAAAATGGTGCAGTTCCCAATGCAAAGGGCCTTGAACGTAATAATACGTGGCTAAAGGAGGGCAATATCTGTGGAGAAAAATGACAGACTTAATTGCTAGACAGGAAAAAAATTCAGAAACAATTCACTGAACTTAGCAGAATAACAAAAAGCACTAGAGAAATTCTCTTTGCCATCTTTAGGAGCCACAAGTGTGAGATGCTATTTAGAGGAGCTTCCCAGTATTCTGACTGCCTTCCTTGTCACCAGACCCTCAGCAGAACCTTTCACAAGCGTTATCATGACTGCAAATCTATTACAGTTGCTTGGCCTAACTAAGGAATCCTGCAAAAGATGCTCGATGGCAAAGTGGGCTGACGACAAGGCCTTGTCCAAGCCTGGCTCCAAATACATTCTGTGGGGCAAGCCCGTGTTTGAGGGATGCAGAAGAAACAGGAGAGCCCTCCGAGGAGCATTAGCACAGAGTCCCAAAACCAGGCTTGAATAGTGAATGAATTCGGTGCAACTTATTATTATTACAGCATTACATTTATATCCTGTCTTTCTTCCTCTTGCAAGGAACCCAAGGCAGCTTACAAGGTGCATCTCCTCTCCTTTTCATCCTCACGACAACTCTCCTGCAAGGCAGGTTAAACTAAGAGTCTGTGATTGGCTCAAAGTCACACAGTGAGCTTCAGGGCTGAATGGGACTACGTAGAATCCAGGTCTCCTGAATCCCAGCTGAGCACTCTTAACCACTACTCTGGCTGTCGGGGGCCTCCAGTGAATAACCATTCAGCAGCAACAGCAGCAGACTTTTTCCTGATTGCCCATGATGAGGGACAAGAATTGAGCTTGTCAACTATTGCACAAAGCATACCAGAAGTGGAAGACTCAGTGGGCTTCCTGACAGAGCCTTCCCTAACCCGATGCCCTAAATTTGTTGGAGAACAACTTCCATCATCTTAATACCATTGTAGTCCACAAGAGCTGGAGGGCAGGCGGCACTACCCATGCATACACTGCGTTTAGGCACTGCAAGTGCCACTTTTCACTATTTGAGGCCTCGTGAA